AAATATAACGAATCATTACTTTTTCGTTACTCTGTTTCTTGACAATAGAATATTATGTGCAGATTTTTTTGATAAATGTAAAAAAGATATCAAAATTCTATTTTTTAATAGAGGAATAGAACTAAAAAAATGTATATATATATATATATATATATGAGTATATATATTCATATTTATTAGGGTAGAATTCCACGTGATCTCGCTGGTCTCATATCACTACGGGTCTCATCACTAGGTGCGTTCCGTTTCACGCACAGTGCGTATAATACATTATTTTATCGTTGTTGTTCACCGAATATTAAAGAAAGATAAAATGATACATCATGTGCATAATGCGTGAAACGAAACGCAGCCTATACGTGTGAACTGTGAATATAATGTGAAAATAGGCGTCGTGATTTCTTGATTAAAAGAACCAATCAGATCTATTCCTTTAACGTCGCATCTCTGTTTTCTATAGCTTTAGTTACGACTAAAACTTTTACGTAGCCAGAAATAAAGTAACTAGTGAAATAAAGAAATAAAAGTAACTAGTGAAATAGTTACCATTATCCTAAAAATGTAGCTGCGTTACCATGAACATTACTCCGAAGAAAATGTAACGTCGTTATCTATTTGTTACCGAAAAAAGTAACTTGTAACGGTAACAACGGTATAAATAACGCATTACTTACCAACCCTGATAATAACAATGAGAATAATAGGGTAGAGCGGGAATTTCTTTCTTTTTCGTCCATTTCTCGCGATAATATTTAGGTTTCTGAATAGCACATGTTGATTATTTAAAGATTGTATTTCTGATCTCAAAAAGTAATCATGATTGTGTAATGTAATTTATAAGCACGTCGCGTTGCTGCAAATATTGTTCGCTATTGTAAATTTTCATATTTAAAGTTGAAACTGACGGAATAGCCCCTATTCTATTTTTAGAATAGTATCTTGAAATTAAATTATTATCTATTGTTATCATATTTATTTATATGACACTGAAGATCTTTACAAAGCTTATATATCGATAATAAACACTATTTGACTATGCAGTGCCAAATAATTTGCCAATTTCTCTCAGTCATTGTCGATCTGCCGAAACAGTTACATATATATTATTTCTTGACATAAAAGTTTGACCAAACGGTTTTAAGTGTATTTTAAATTATAACTAATTTGAACGAAAATTTTACATTTGTGTTACACAACATGAGCTCGTTGGTTTTTATTAGAATAAATATTGCTTGCTGAATAATAAAAATTTTTTTTACTACATGACAATTTATTCTCTACTGGAACGAGAAATTTTCTACATTCGATCTTCCAATCTTCCATTTGCAAGCAGTTCTTCATGAGACACTTACCAGACCACATACAACATAATTACAATCCATTTACTTTGCACTTCGACAACTCGCATGCATTACTGCGAATCCAAACCAATTGTCTAAAAAAGACTCAATCGGATAGCCGAAATATGTAACTTTGTAATTTTGTATTTCACATAAATTATATATCTAATTATATCTCCTTCAGTCTTTAATATCAATCGTTATAACATTTTTATTATCAAGAAGAATTGACTCTTATAAGTCCTTTTTATTGTGTATATTGTTATTGATAAAAAAAAGTCCTCGTATTGAATTATTTATTTTTAATTTCATATTTATTTATTCAATACATAAAATTTATGTACACACGTGCAAATTATATACACAGATTAAATAAAAAATATCAAATTATTATTGTTATTATTCTTTTGCATATTGTGTTGTTCTTATTATGTGCTTATTGTAATCTGCTTAAACTTTCGTGAATTACAATTTTTGTAGCCCGCATACATATACTTCATTGCTCGTAAAATATTTTACATTTAATAAATATTTATTTAACGATTGCAAAAGATATTTTATGGCATTGGCATGTTGATCCAGAGATTTTATCTGTTTAATGAATTATTAGTAAAAAATTACTATCAGATGTAACGTACGCATGTAAATACGTATGTTTAAAGCATGCAGAAGTTAGATTTGAATCTACGTCTTCTATTAGTAACACGCAAGTGAACTAACAATGAGAAACGTCGAAAGGATCGAGAGAGCAAACATGATGAATATTGCGCTTGTATTATATTTATAGTAATCGATGTACGATGGAAAGAAATATTTACAACCGATCGTAAAAGTTGAATGATTTACAATTAGTTGTTAGTAAATGAAAAATAATTCTACGATGACTCTTCCGTATATGACGCAAGTGAACAGCTTCTCATCGTAAAATCATCGGTAATTACAATACCGAAGACACGCACTTAAAACGACTTCATTAGAAATAATCCTTTTCTTCCTTAATGCGTGCTGAATGTATGTACTTATAATGTCAATAATATAATTTTTTTACTGAGATGTTATATTTAAAATGAATGTTACGCTAAACTTTAATCAATGTTTAACATAAAAAGATTGGAAAATTTTAGAAATTTATAAATTTCAAAATATTTCTTATAAATAATTGCGTAAAAATCAAATTATATAAAAAAAAGTATGTAAACCGAACTACGAGCTAAAGTTTCTTAGTATTCAGCAAATTATAATAAATATGCGATAAATATACAAAACATCACACTAACATAAATATTCCACTAGTCTTCGACGAAACAAAAATTTTGACGAAATTTTTTAAATTGTTCATTTTATTAATTACAAGCCTATAAACCTTTCATAGTTGTACCGTTACCAACTATACATATATTACCAAGAAGGACGCATAACGTGTGTGCGTCCAACCGAACATTAAGTGGATATTTTAATCGGTAAAAGACCAGCATGCGAATAAAACAGTCGTAAAGCGAATAATGTTCAAAAGATTCCGTTACAAAACATTTTTGTGAATACGCCGGTTGATATGGTATATCTATTTGTTATAATCAAAGAAGTAGGTATTGCATATGCTATTCTTTAATTATTTGTTTTTAAACTTTAATTTATAATTGTCTTATAGCGATGGTAGAAAGTGATTTAATTATTCCAGACAGCACATAATATTTATAAAATATTTACGAAATATTTGTAAATAATTATATGAGACTGTTATGTGAAACTGAAATATATTATAATTAAAAAATTAATATCAAACATTAAGATGCACAGACTTTTCCTTCGATTATCATCTTTTCTCAATTGTAGATTTTTAAGTAACATTTTATTAATAGTCTTTAAACACAAGAATAAAAAAAACAAATGAGAATTAGTCTTTTATTTTTAATTTTATTGTTAATCTCGCGGCATTATTCTTTCCTTTCATACAAACATAAATAAATCAGATTATTTTATGTATCGAACTCTTTACTCATTTCGTTGGCAGTATTTAATAATAAAAAGCAATAATTTTTTATTAGTGTATTAATGGAATAATCGTTATCACATCCAAATTAATGCTCAACTACATATCTATAAATTTACAATTCAGTTATTTAAGAATCATTAACGTATTTCTTGCATCTCACGCATATGTATACACACACATATATGCGCGCGCGTATACACACGCAGACTTGTTGAGATCGAATCTGAATCATCTAATTTATGTTAATTATGTATCTATTGCAGGAAAGAAAAGTGTGCAACCTAAAAACAGAAAAAAATAAACAAAACAAAAAAAGAGTAAAAAGTAAATAAAAACCGAAAGAGGAATGGTAAGCAAGAACATCAGGATAAGACAAAGTGTCTTTGTCATTAATAATAAGGATAAAAGTACGAAGGAGAACCTTTGTAGGCTCATTTTCCGACACTGGATGTCGGACTGACGCGTCGACCGCGACGCAGAAGGGCAGAAGGTGCAAGTGTTTCGGTATGCGCGAAAAAGTGATATATACTAACATCTCCGAGGAACAATTAAACATTAAGAAGGAGCGAGAGAAAAAGAGAAGATTTATTTCTGTCACAAGGTAAATATACTAGCACATAGTATAAAAGAATATATTATAATATAAATGATAATTATTATACTGAACAATAATATTAAAGGTAAAATAAAAAAAAAGAGAAATTGCACAAAAAGAAAAAATCTGAACGTTCTAAGAGATGTACTATTAATAAAGTATATCAGTATTATGAGACTATTATGTGATGAATAAATTAATATTTGAACGCATGGCTTAATTTCTATAGAGATGGGCCTTGTTTTTCATTATCTGGTTAATTTGTAATATTTGTAATTAGGCTTAACCTGATGTTTTATCCAACGGGCTTCATTTATAATGAAATCCAAAATGGGCTTTATCTATGATATCATTATATGAAACATTAGGTTAAGTTTAACCACAAATTAACCAGAGAATGAAAAACCTGGCTTATCTATCATTTCTTTCAGAGACTAGATGTTATCAAATAAACAAAACATTGTTATATTTTGTTAACAGTTTACGAATCAGAAGTTGGAATGACATAATGCAAATAGTTCCTCGAGAAACATCTGATTATCAATATAACACAAGCAAAGTTGAATAATCAAAATAAAGGAAAGTAGCCAAATACTTCGATTTCGGGGAACTATTAAGCAGATACTACACTTTAACATCTGATACTATTTGGCACTGTTAAATTAAATAAAGAAGCATCCAACAAGTTCAACGCCGGACATTTCTAAGGTATTATTTATCTCAATAATTTATATAGTATTGATTTAAAGAAAAATAATATTTTCGTTATTTTTTTTTAAATCAATAATTGATTTTAATATTTATAGATATTATCGAAAAGCAAGTATATATATTTCTGTATACGACATATGATATTAACTATAAATTACAACACTTTAAGTGTGTATTCGGATTTAAAATATTAATTTTGGAAATTTTAAATTTAATATAAAGAAATAAGAATGATCTTTAATATTATTTAATGTTCTCTGACGGAAATGTAAATTTTTTATATTAATTATTCCTTAAATAAATCTCTTAAAATAAAAGATTTTTTAATTTAGAACACTATATTATATCGATTGAAAATTATATAAAGTACGAAAAACGGATTAAATTTTAAATTAATTTATTGCATAATTAAAACAGCATTTTTACCTTGCATTTGTAGCCTTTCATATTCAATTATTGATTTTGTAATCTTCAAGCATAATCAATTATGCTTATTAACCCTATAATGCTATCACTATTGAGTGATAGTATAGATACAGTATTGCTATCGATACGTAAATTTTATGTCCAATAGACTACTCTTAATTAATGTATCATACAATTTTTATAACTTACAAATATTTTATACTTTTAATATTTGTAATCTACAAAATATTGATAATCTATTTCTTTATAAACATACACAAATAACCTAATTATTAACTTAATATGGAAGAAAGAATAAGCACATTACCAAATTCAATTTGAAAATAATACAGAGTATGTAGTCGAATTATGCATATCTTCCTATAACTTAAGGTGTATATCTATGAAATGCGGATTTTTTTTAAGGAAAAATACATGTTAATCTTGCAAACGCTCGCTAACACTTTTTTGAGTCACATTTAATACTTCCGCCAATTGAGTTTGAGTGGAGTCTTCGTCCAACAATGCTTGCAACACTGCATCTTCAAATTTTTTCGGTGGTTTTCCCGTAGTCTTGTCTTCCATATTAAAATCACCAGTTTTGTATCGATTGAACCAACGTTGAGATGGTGCATGTTCGTCGTAAGCTTCTACAAGTATTTGATAAGTTTGATCAGCAGTTTTCTTCAAAATGAAGTAACGAATCAAAACCTCTCTTTCTTTTTATACGAAATTCGACATTTTCAAAGTAGAAAAAGACTATGATATTTATACTCTCACAATTTTCCACACGTATGGTTTTGTAGGAATAGCCAAACAAAATACTATATATGTCAAATCACCACGCGTAAGAACGTAAGTGTAGCAGCGCCACTTGATAGGAAAATCCTTATGTTCATACACCTAATAAATAAAATGTATAATAATACAAATCTGCTTAATTAAAATCACTTATCATGCTTTCTGTTGTAGAACTGACCACTAGAGAGTTAGTATTATAACAAACTGTTATGTAATGGACAGAATTTTTGAAAGCTTGTCTTCGATTGTCCTATCTTTTGGCATGGCAGATTGGAATCCTCCTAATGACTATACTAAAGGTATAACTTAGCGCTCAATGACCTCGTGTATGTATAATACGTATCGATAGCGTTCTATAGGGTTAATTTATTTTTATATAATATCTCTAAACATATTTTTTTTTGCACGAAATTGTTAATTTTTTTAATTATATGATATAAATGTATATAGATTCGTATTGTAAATTATTTAATATTCTATTGATGGAATTTTATGATATAATATCAACTTTATCATGTATTTTTTTTATCAAATTAATTATGTATAAGTCATAATAAATCTTCTTGAGTATATTAAATTAATTTTTTTTTATAAAAAAATATATAGTACGTATATTATAATAAATCAATCTACTAATTATTATTTTGTATATATATTCTTATTAACGTATTTATAAAGAAAAAAAGACAATTACAATTGAGAAGTTTCTCATATTTAAACAGAAAATAAACCAGATATATAGTTCAATTGTATACATTAAAACACGTTTTTAATTATCATGAATTTTACGATTGAATGATCATGATAACACCGAACAGGTTGCTATTTTTATTGAAATTTTCGTGGCTTTTATGATTTCGGCATAAACAACGTAAAGGGGTTGCTAATGAAAGGTTTACGAAATAAATGTAAAAATATTTTACATCGGACGATTGCGCACGCTAAGGTCGATTGAACAATTCCATTAGCGGCGAGTTTTACATTGGCAGATAATACCTAATTTGTTCATTACAAATGGCGTATTAAAATTTAAATTTTAATAGTCTCCAACAAGTCCGATATTAAAAATGTATCACATAATGCGTTCGTTACGAATTACATATTTAAATTTTCATGGACAATTGGTCAGTCACTAACCATTAAAAATGTAATCTTTGATTCCCGGGAACTGCATAAAAGTTTCATCAATCTATATACATGAATTATCAATAACATATTATGTATAACATATTATGCGTAGTACGTATATTATAATAAATCAATCTACTTAATTGTTATCTTGTACTTATATGCTTATTGACGTATTTCTAAAGAAAAAAAACGATCACTATCGAGATGTTTCTTATACTTAAGTAAAAAAACTAGATATATAGTTCAATTATATCAATTAAATCAATTAAAGAAGACTCTTCAATTATATATTTATAAATTACAAATATTAAATAATTGTGTAAAAATTGTTCACAAAAAATCAATACATAGAGTAAATAAATAGATTTTATCCACTTAAAAAGTTTTGGAAATATTTCTGATGCATAATATGTCATGAGAATAAAATAAAAGTTTTTAATGTGTGCTTAAAATTTTAATAAATAATTAAATTAAGTATTAATATTAATTTGAGAATATAAGATGTTTCGGTTTTAAAAGGAAAAATGTGTTTGAAATAATTCGGGTAATTATCGATTGATGGTTTGATATCAAGGCGTACTTTCAACTCAAGCATTAAGCCGTATTTCGATATAAGGTTATGACACACAAAAAATGTAAATAGTAAGCAAATAAACATTTTGTGAAGTTGCTACTGATTACTTTATTGTCTTAAAGTATGGTCAAAGCTTTATTAAAGCTAAAGATTTATCAAAAAAAAGAATTTTACGAATTGACCAATCAAAAAATGCCTCAAAGCAATTGTATAATAATTGTACATTAACCGTACTTAGTCTTTATTATGATTGGCCGATTACTGTTTATGTCCAAACAGCGTTTTCTACCGGAAAAACTAGTACAACACTGACGAAATTGAGCAAATCGGTTTACATATCTTCAATATTAATAAATAACTCGATCCTTTTAAGATTATGAGGTTATCGTAGCAGTAAAGAAAATGTAATTAAAAAGATTAAATTATTTATTAATACTATCTAAACATGTGAATTAATTTACATTTAATTGCACTTAATGTGCACTAGTACTGTACTAGATTTTTTAATGGATATCGATCTACATTTTTCTGTGTACTATGGTTCATAAGTCGTATACACTACTAGTACTAATAATTTATAGTATACGTAACATCAGGGCCGCCATAATAAGCATATAAGGCGCAAACAAAATTTTACATCCTTTCTTAATATTTTTAATTAACCCCCAATTTTTTAAATAAGATATATTTTTAAATAATTAAAAAAAAATTTTTTTAGACAAGGCGCAATTTGATCGTGTTAGTTTTTTCTAGAATATAAAAAATGAAAGTTTCTACATTGAAATTGATGTAGAAATGTTTCACTTTTCACATTTTCGCTTTAGAGAAATATAATCAGTAGTCTCCATATTTTTTTAAAGTTTATAATAATAAAAAAATTGGGCTTAACAAAAAATCCAGATTGTAGACGGAAACAGTAAAACATGCAGAAGATTAAAACTTAATTTGACCACACCGCTTGTTAATGTATTTATGCGATGCACAACTTGCACACCGTTTGCGGCGGCCCTGCATAACGTGAACTATAGGTTTTTAATTTTTAGTATCGTATGGGCAATATTTATAGTTGGTTTTTGTTTTAAGATCGTCTTAAGTAAAATCTTAAGATAATAATATTGCTCTGTGATTAGCTGATGACATCTGAAGAGACCGCACTTAAGACGGTCTTAAATATAAAATCCGATTACGAATATCGGCTTATATCGAAACACGGCCTTAAATATCAATAACAAAAAACAGAAGAATATCGATCGTTCTATTTATTTACTTTGTATTGTGCGTATACATAGTCGCTATTTGTTTTCTTATAGCTAACAGGGGATTGCCATACTGTCAGAAACAATAGAGGACGACAACCGCGAACCATCAAAATAAGTAATAGCATTCTCGCGCCAAGTACATGTAGTAACATATTATTTCGTGATCTCAGTCCAACATTTTACCGTGCGCTGCTAGGTGTCACTTCTATCATGACTCAAGTACTATGAAATTCTTCAACGTGGTGTACGCGAAGTTTCCCCTATATCTACTTTTATTTCGGATTGGGCGCTTAGCTTTCATTTGTTGATTTTCACTTCTGACAACAACTTTTAAAAGAAGCAAACAGTAAAGAGGACTCTGTGACGATCTGTTTCAAAGCATCGAACAATTGTTGAACACTGTGACCAAGTTATTTGCTGTAACTGAATCTTGGCGATAAAATTTGGGCGCGATTGAGTCGAGGACTTTCAAGGTATACAGAACGGATAAAAAGGAAGCGTGAGTGTAAACTGAAAGACTGGTGAAGGTGAAGTGGTGTCCGAGGATAGAGCACAAACAGCACGTGGAGTGTGAGCACGATAGCACCGCGGGTCGTGTTCCTCAAGGGGACGGACGCCATGGCGGCTTCTTCGTCCTCATCGACGGGTGGTGAGCAGCAATACTCTCTTAGATGGAATGACTTTCAATCAAGCATTCTGAGTTCCGTACGTCAGCTGAGAGATGTGGAAGATTTTGTCGACGTCACACTCGCCTGCGACAGCTGCAGCTTTACTGCACACAAGATCGTTCTTTCGGCATGCAGTCCATACTTCCGAAACTTGCTCAAGGTCAGTGCATTTTTATCTTTTTCTTAACATCTCTTTAAGCTACGAATTCGAAGCTATACAACCGCCAGATGGTCGATAACAATAGAACCATTAAATTATTTAATGATTTTTTTTAAGTTATCTATATTTACCAAAATTAAAAGTTATCTACACGGAGAAAATTTTATATTTAAAATTACTATAATGTGGTAGAAGCTGCGGACCATCGTGTAATTATAAGTTTAAATGCTATAACTATTTTTTTTTAAACAATGATATAAAGTAATTTTTACACTTTTTCATAGTAAAATTTTTTATTAGAAAATCAAACCTTGTTGAATAAAAGTTAGTATTGTAAAGATAATAAAAAATATGTATACCTAGCAAATATTGTTTGCATACCATAGTAAAAATTAACTCTTTCCATGTGGCTTAAAAGCACTGGTTTAATAAAAATTACTTCGTTTATGTGATAAAATTAGTATTACTACAATAAAAGTTATGTCGCGAAATATTGTTGTGAGAGTCTACCTGAAAATACAAGACAGTAAATTGTAATTTAAAATTGTATGAAAACTTAATATAAAATTTTCTCCGTGTATATTTAATGGTTAATTTTAATTTAATATTTCTAATTCACAAACGTTTTAACACAATTATCTTTTAGTGTGTAATAATCGAAAAAAAGAGAGTATGTGCCTAAATTTTTTTTCTATACATTTGTTTATAAATCTCATTAAATATATTGGAAAAATGAGAAGAAAGAAAAACTTGATGTAATTTCGTTTTCCCTTAATATTACTGAAATATGATTAAAATAGAAGTCAATCAGAATAGAGAACAATTATAAAAATATTATGTTAGTTTAGAGCTAAGGTCTAGCTTTTTAATTTTACCATAAATTTTGTTAAACTCTTGTTGGATTTCGCAGCGATGCATTATTAAATCACAGAGTCAAGGAATGTAATTTAGCGGTCACTGTATGTGCGAGCGATGTGTAACTCGATCGTAATGTAGGAAAGTCGAGTCAGGGTCGCATATGACATAATATGTGTGGAAACGCTAACACTGCTGCGATGGTGTAACGAAATCATAACTGATAATCGTGAAGTGAACTACTTAAGCTTCTTCTTTATTCATGAAAACTGATATCTTTCTTCAAAAGTATCTACACTACACTTGTTCCACGAAACTCGAATTTAATCAATTTTAATGAACGAATGTATTGCTCCAAGATGAGATATGTAATAATCAAATATATAATCGACTGTTGATTTTAGATTGTTAATAAATATAGTCAGTGATGTTAGTATTTTAATTTATGTGTTGTAACTCTTTATAAGATATATTTCTTATAAATAATTTTATTCAATTCCATTTAAAATCTATTAATATTTGACTTTCAAATTATATCATAGTGTTATTATATAATTTTTTTTTAAATAATATCTATTGAATACAGATGTCAAGTTAAAATATGTGACACGATACTTATTGATAACTGTACAAATGCGTCATACAGGGTAGAATTTGGAATCGTATATCATTAATTTTAGCCGCTCCAGTAATAATTTCTACCTCCAGATCGACCGCTAATCTTAGATCGTTAATGGGTGTAGTCAGTGACGCTGGTGTGTGTTTTATTCGACGTTTTAACTTTCTAAAATAAGATTTCTTATGAATAAAACTGAGAATTTATACAGATATATCGCTACTTTATGAGAAACTGATATTAAAAATAATATGTGACTCAAAAATTATCTAAAAAGGAAGAAATTATATATAATTCTTAATATTGAATATCTTTTAGTGTATCATATATTTTAATATTGTTTCTATATTCAAAACGTTTTGCAGTTTTATCTATCCTTATTTAAACGTATTTATTATGTGAAGAAGCTTTTCTTTTTTTTTTTTTACAGAACGATAAAAGTATATAATGCAAAATTCACACGGATTATTATACATGCCTTAGTTTTATTTCAATTTGTAGTTAAGATCAAGATGTTCCTTTAATAATGCTATGCCAACCGCCGTTATTTTTTTTTACGACCGGTTAGCAAATCCGCGTACTTTACGCGATCAAACCATGGGGAACGATTTTTCGGTATTATAATTTTACGAGAGTCGGAGAAGTTTTATGCTTGGGTAGGTGGGTTAGATGCAAATTGCTAAGACAGAATAAAAGAAAATCTGATGGAAGAAAGATATTTGTTGGCATGGAAGGGTAGATAGGACGTAGATATCGCACGCCGCGAAGAATTCGTAAGTCGCGGTTTCCTGTCTATCTTGATATCTTGGTTGAAAAAAATAAGATAACACGTAGCAATGAATAACATTCGTAATATTTCTCATCGTATTACATCATAATACATTGCCGGAAACCATAAATTTAATAACATAATTTTATAGTTGTGTTATTAATGCATTTAGCAATTATTACAAATAATGTATTATTACAAATAATGAATTTTATGTTTATATCACCATATTGCCAGACATTTGTGAATACAAATTAATCTATTAAAACATTAAAAACTGCAGGTTTAATACTAGCAATGCTACAACAGAAAATTTAAGAGACATAAATATAAGTTTCTATATAAATGTCTTCTGTGTGTATGCAAATTTATTGTAAAATATAAATATGTATACATATATGAAGAGCAGAAAATGCGTTTTGTCCAAAATTTATAATTTTTAGGAAACGAGAAAGAAAGAGAGTCACAAGAAAACTGCGCTCTTTACAAAATATAACAATTCGCCAATTAGTAAAATGTGAAATGTTCAACAAAATTGCTAAACAGTTACTGAAAATGTTAAATAAATACATTTTGTTTGTCTCAAATTAAGAGACATAATGCACTTCAAATGTCAATATTTTTTCCAGCACATAAATTGATGATGTAGAAATGCTTTCAGAACATCATAGAGTAGCTTAAAATATTGTATGAATCTCTCTATATTGAACACTATGTCAACTTTAATTAAAAAATGAAGTTTAGGACAAAATGCATTTTGCGAGTCTGCTTTTCATATGTTGCAAACATAATAATACTGTAGCTATTCTTTGAAAAATCAATATATTATTTTCTTTACGTTTCAATTGGTATTGCTCGAATTCGCAATACGTATTTCGTGTGATGTTTTGTGCAAAAATAAAAGATAATAGAAACGAAATCGTTCCTATATTAAAAAAGATCAATTTTGCATTTCTAATCGCTCTGTCCTTCTATTTGTGTTTTACCTTATGGATGAAGTATGTAGCTCATATCCTCATTCCTGTTAGACATAAAACGCATAAGTGGGTGAAAGTAACTCTAGTCTTATTTCGCGCATTACCGCAATCGCGAAATTATAATAACTCTCTGGTAGTAATTATATACTCTAATTGATTCGTGAACAGACACGCAGCAATCAGACCGGTTATTGCCTCATAATTCCCGGATGTTACAAATCATCGTAAAATCATCAAGAGCAATTGCAAGCTGCTATCCTCTCAGAGAGAATTGGATTTCGAAAAAATATATAAATAATTGCAATGCGGTATTAAATTATGAAAGAAACAATAATTAATATTTATGCAATGCTAATTATTAGATTTTCCTTGACAAACCGTGACATCAAAAGGACAAAAATGAAAATAATATCACGCTGGGAAATAACGAAATTATCACAATTAAATATAATTGTTGAGATAAAACAGTATTACGTGATATATAATTTGATAACTTCATGTCTCTCTGTGTCGCAGAATTTTACATTATAAATGTCTATAAATAAATATTTAAATTTCTTAAAAAATTACTCCCACATCAGACATTTTGCTAAAATCAGTCGTGATGCATTCTGTCGATATCAAAGCGATCCATCCTACAGAATAGTTGAGGGAAGACGGTTTCCTTGTGTGATGAAGTCCACAAAAGACTTCCGGTTTGATTTGCATAATAACATTGTGTTCGAGTCATCGCTAACGGAGATCCTCCCCTTTCACGCGAGACACAATCGATCACTTCGACATATCGTCGCGATGTCGTCAACAGTGGTATCTCTCGGAGAACCTGTTTCCTTCGCATGCATTTGCTTTTGATCAGTTCTCATCGTCGCCTTGAGGCAACGTTCTATTGATCGTATATGGACTCTCTTTTGATCGGTCTAAGTTGACACGAAACGGAAGTTTAATAAAAAGTTTAGCGTACTGTTTTATTTTATTATTGCTAGTAACACTTATAGTAATCCAAAACCAAATTACGAGTCTCCGATTTTACTTTAGGAGTGTGAATCTAAGGATTTTCAGATAACAAAGTTTGAGTAGGACAATCTGCTGACGTGCGACGGTTTCATTTAATGTATGATAATTGGCTATAATGATTGGCTACAGATAGAATTATCGAACAATCGGTCAGTCAGCATTCCAAGAAATCCGTATAATAGAAAATACTATAATAATATTATTGCTTCTTCTAAAATGCTAATAATATTGCCACTTTTAAAATTTCGTCATTCTCGAGAATTATTCTGCGTCGAAACGACGACTGGTTGTCGTTCAAAGAATGACTCGGACGTGGAATGAAGCGGCCGACTTTCTAATTGACGCGTACCACTAATTGATTTTAAGTGTCGGGCAGTACTCGAGGCGAGTTAATAAAGCTTACACGTTGGCCAAGCTGTGCTTACGTCACGCTAGGCTACGTGGACACACGACGCAATGGCGCAGGATTTTATGCCATATCGCTTGAACCTCCGAACACAATTACATTAAGGCCAACCGGCTACGCTGTAACTTGTAATGACGGGTAGAGGGAGGGGGACAGAGAAAGAGAAAATGAGAGAGAGAGAGAGAGAGACATAAAGATCATTGGTAGCAACTGTCTCACAACGAAGCGACAACAAGAGTTACCATTATGCCGGCATTAACAGCATATGCTCTACCGTATTACTCGCTTTTTGTTTGCCCACTTGCGCCGATGACGTAGGATTCCGTATTGGTTTCGACGGTCGCCTACTTATTGTTAGAGTAT